CGTTACTGAGAAAAATAAAGATCTTTACAAGCAGGTGAGTAGAATTTCCAATTGATTTAAAAAAAAAAAAAAAAAAAACTTTTAGGATTTATTCATAACGTAATATGATGTGGTTTCACGGCTTGATTTAAACTGGTTACATCCAACTATTCGAGCTCACCATTTTTCGGATTTAATGGAGCCGTGTGTTGAATGCTTATATAAGCATCCTATAAATAATCGCTATTATATCATGTTTTATGCAGTTTCACCTCGTCGTGATATTTTACAGCTTTTTTTGTTCTCAGTTCTTGAAATCATTAACCTTTAATAGTTATTCATTCTTTATTATTATAATTTAAGCTCAGTGATGCTTTGCCTGATGTAAGCAGTTCGGTTGGTGTACTGGCCGATGATTCTAGAAACATCGTTTCTCTTATCGAAGAGGAATACAATAAAATTTCCCAAAAAATCATTATGGTTGATAATGCGAACGCAAGCCAAGGATTGAGATTATCATACCGTTCGAGATGTTTGGAGTAAGTTTTCCGTTACTTTCATTTTCTACATTTTTATTTCAAAACTAGTCTTTTCAAAATTTCTCAACAAAATTCACCAACTCTACTATTATTTTTACCTTTTTGCAAACCTGAAAAGAAATTCTTGGACTGTGGTTTATTTCCAGTGGGCATACTCTTAAGGAAACAAATGTATGTGATGGAATTAAAGTTGGTGATGAAGTTTCGTTCGAAGTTACCCTAGAAGCAACGCACTGCGTGAAAGAACGTGATTTTAATTTAAAGATTGGACCAAGTGGTCTTGATGAGACCCTTCAGGTTGATGTTCATGTACAATGTGACTGCGATTGTGAAACCGATGTGAGTATTTCTTTACTGTCAAAGTTTTTGAATTTCTTTTATTTAAATTTTGTCAACATTTGTCAAATTATTCTTAAATTTTGACAAAATCTGTCAAAATGTTACTTAGATCTATAAAAAATATTACTTAGATATGAATGCAATCGACTCATAGGCAGAAATTTATTACTGTTATGTGCACCATACATAAATAATAAGAGATTTATCACGAATAATTGCTATGTACGTTCTCTGTCCTTGTGATTTAATTGATCCTGAATGATGCAGTAATTTTATAGAGAGTTGTGTACAATTCCCCGGTATGTCATGGGAAAGGTGATTTGGTATGTGGTGTTTGCATATGTCATGGGACAAATGTTGGAAGACATTGCGAATGTGATGCACCTGGTCTTTCAACTGTTGCTTTGGATGCAAAATGTAAAAGGTAACAATTATTGTTTTTTTTTATGGCATTATTCTGCAGCTTTTCAAGGAATGAAAGCGTACTGGAAAGTTACAGGTGTAGTATGATCATGCAGTTTTGTCATCTTTCAGTATTCTAATTCTGAGAATTGATTTTGAGACTTTATCTTTTAAAGTTTTTAGGACAAATGAAAGTGCTATTTGTGAAGGTCGAGGAGTTTGCAACTGTGGTGTTTGTGAATGTTTCGAACGTGATGTAAGTTCACATCTTTACCTTCTTAGTTTTGGAGTTAAAAAAAGAATTTTATCATGAAATTTTATGCCTTCTGGAAAATACTTTTGTATTGTGTGTATGTCAATATTTTCTGTAATACTCATCCTTGATTGTTCATTGTTGAAATTTTTCGCTTCTAAGCTGTATTAAATTTTTCACTATTCATTTTGACCATAAACTTTTTAACTGTTCTATGCTTGTCACTGTGTGAAATATATGAAATTCAAAATTGAGAGAAAAAATTTGCATTTCTTAACAGTCTTCACTTCAGAATATGAATGAGAAAATTTCGGGTCAGTTTTGTGAATGTGATAATTTCAATTGTCCACGACATGATCGTAAAATCTGTGCTGGACATGGTACTTGTGACTGTGGGCAGTGCACATGCAAGCCCGGTTGGACAGGTAATTTTTCTTATTACTTGAAATTTTATTGCATTACGAATGAATTCTATGATAATGAGTACTTTTTTTTTCTTTTCTACCAGAGATCGTTGATTTGATTATACTATGACCTGATTGCATGAATTCAATAAACTAATTTGCAATAGTGTTGCAGGTCGAGCATGTGAATGTCCGTTAAGCTTAGATAGCTGTATGGCTGCGAATGGTAAAGTATGCAATGGACAAGGTGAATGTATTTGCGGACGTTGTCGCTGCTTCAGTGATGGTCCAGGAAATCGTTATTCCGGTCCCAAATGTGAAATTTGTCCTGTTAGTTAAACAAATTCATCACTTTTTTTTTTCCGAAATTAAAATTTTTCATCCTTACGATTGAGAACATTGATGTATTTATTATCCACCTATCCACCTTCATTTATTGACGGAGTATGTTGATAATAGGACGAGGCTTTCAAATTTGATTCACATTATATACTTTGAAACTGTATTGATATTTTTTATCAATAGTAATATTTTTTATGGATTTGTTTTCATTTTCTTTTCTATTTCCTATTAAATCCTCAATACTGTTCAAAATTCCAATAATTTTTAGACTTGTCCATCTAAATGTGTGGAACATAAACCTTGTGTCATGTGTCAACAGTGGCAAACTGGTCCGTACAATGAAACTCAGTGTGACGAGTGTACTTTTACCGTTATACCTGTTAAGGAATTACCAGGTTATCATTTTATCATAGTAAGGTTAACATATTATTAAAGCAAAAAGTTTATTGCAGTAAACATTAAGATTATAAGTATGGAAAAAGCTGCTTTAGTATTTGAATTTGTTATTAAGGGATTTATTTACAATAACTGTTTGTTTTCTTAAAAAATAAAAGAAATATTCTAGTGTTAAATGACACAACTGAATGTCAATTTGTCGATCCATCAGATGATTGTACATTCTATTTCCTTTATTACGAGGATCAAAGAACTGATAATCTAACGGTATGGGTGAAAGAAGAAAAAGGTATGTCAATTGTTAAGCTTACAGTTTATCATAGCTACTCTGTGAGTGATTTACTTCTTTTATAGTTCTTTTTAGATGGTTTAAATTAAAGGTAAAAGTTCTGTAATTATATTTTAATATATTCTGTTAAACATAGATTGGGATTCATGGGATGCAGTTTGATAAATAATTTCTCGATATTGAAGTCATGAGTGGCTTTTTTGACTATAGTTGACATTTCGCTATGTAAATGACTAAATTTACATGAAATTTTCACTGATGTCTTAGTTTTCTTGATGTAGTGAGTTGATCTGAAGTACTCAAAGAATGATACTAATTTAGATTGCCCACCACCAGTGCCAGTACTTGCTATTGTTCTTGGTGTCATAGCTGGTATTGTTATACTGGGATTGATTCTGCTTTTGGTCTGGAAATTGTTAACTGTTCTCCACGATCGTGCCGAATTTGCGAAGTTTGACAGCGAAAGATTACTAGCGAAATGGGATACTGTATGCTTTTTTTTGCATTTCTTTTTTCAATTCTTGAATTTTTTCCAATGAAATGATGAGTAAAACTTATCTCGTTTTACATTGCATTATGTTGCATGAGTGGTTCAAAATATTGACAAAATATTTATTTATTTTTCGTCTTTTAATATTGTTAAGATTCAGTTAGAAGAAAAGAAATGAATGCTGTAGTGATAGAACTGAGACATTTATTAATTTCAGAATGAAAATCCGATTTATAAACAAGCAACGACGACGTTTAAGAATCCTGTGTATGTGGGAAATAATACAATGAAAAATAAATAGGCACTAAGAAGAAGGTAATTGTGAATATTCTTTGATACTTGACAAATTCATATATACTTAATTTTCGAAAATTTGTGCATTTGCTTTGTAAAGTTATTCATCCGTTTTGGGATTTAAGTCTTTCTGGAGAATTGAGAATTTTTAGTTTGGAAATTAGCAAGTATATGTTTGATCTCTGAATTGTTCTTGTTGAATTTCGAGCTATAAATTTCTGTCAGAAAATTAGAAGTGTTTTTTACTTGACAGGCTTTTTTGCTGCCATTGATTTTTCTTTACTTTTGTATACTGTCTAATCAATTGTTCTTCCATTGAAAAGTTTTTGCCTGCTATCTTTCTTGCATAATCTAAATGTTATTGAATTATTTAATCGCTCAGATTATTTTATGAATTTTTCATAATTGTTAATGCCCTTTTCAAAAAAATTACTTCATCGCTCAGACTATGATGCTTTTATGTCATTAAATTATTTCGAGCAGGTTTCTTTTTCTTTTAATCCGTAGGTTCTGTTGATTCGCAAGCCAACTAAGTAAAAAGATTAATCTTTTTGGAAAAAGTTAAAACTGAAAATATTTAAAAAATGAAAGAAATTGGTGATTTCTACCTTCATGGATTTTCTCCTTTCGAAGATTTAATACATTCGAAAAATGTATTGAATGTTTGCTTAAAAAAAGAAAAAAATTTATTTTTGCACTTCAAATTTTGCCAGACGTACGTAATTAAACAGGGCATTATGCTTTTCTTACTTTTCGGCTGTGCCATTATTCATTTAGCTAATACTTCCATTTTTTTTTTTTTTGCGCTGCACACATATAGTTTTTATGCAAATATAAATGAATTCCATGATTTGAGCATCTGTTAGAAGAAATTTTATCTCATTTATATACGTTCAGGCACCGTAAGGCGATATCTTATTGATATTTCTTTTTTTGTATTTTAATTGGTTTGTATATATTCAGAATTATTATTGTTATTATTTTATATAGACTCAGAACTTTCTGCAAAATATTTATGATTTTATTAAATTTATATATTATTCATGTATTTTTTTTTTTGAGCTTATCAGGTAATAGAAATTGATAAATCATCTTGCACTCTATAAATACAATAAAGAAATGTTCAACGGATCTTTTATAAAATTTTGAAAAATTTTCCTATTGAACAAAGACAAAACAAATATGCAAATTATCGAAAAAAAAACTCAATTTTTAAAAGAAACAGAATGAAATAGATGCTAATTATTGTTGAGCTTAATGGAGCTGTCGGACGATGTGTGGAATGTCATCTTCAGCTATTTGGATGTTACGGGCGAGGGCTAACATCGCTTCTGTAAATAAACGGCTTAGTAAGTGGTCTTTATTTTATTGAATTACTCTCCTGAAGTAAATTCAACGAGGAATTTTAGTTTTCTTTTCTAAAAAAAAAGGACTGCATAATTACACGGAGTGGTAATACAATAATTAATCCTTCCTTTTTAATAACATTTTTTAAATAACTCAAGAATTTGTTAAAATACTTGTCCAGGTTCATTGTTTTCTACATGGATTGATATTACAATGCTTTCCATTAAGCAAGATAATTTGTGTATTGCTGGTGACATTTTTAAATGTATAACAAAATGTGATCTAAAGGTAAATGCAGTTAACATTTATCAAGACAGTTTAATGATATAAAAAGAAATTTAAAAGTTTTTGTCCATTTGACTAATAATTATCTCAGTGGGAATGCTTCTTTCAATTTAACTCCAAACTTAAATTAATTAATTAACCAGTAATGCTCATCACATTCATATTAATTAAGAACTAAAAGTTTCTAAATTTATAGTTAGTCCTTCAACATTGTCCAAATTTGAATAATATCAATATTCAAGCAATACGGGATGAGAATTATTTGAAACAATTATCTAAAATAGAACACCTCAGTGTTCTTACTATAGCAAGTTCTGCATTTAAGTAAGTTAAGTAAGATTCTTTTTTTTTCTTCTTTTTCTCTCCCTGTTGTAGATACAGGGATAAAGTGATAACAACATATGATAATTTTAGATTTGTTATCAATTTGATTAATCATTTATCACAAATCAATACATATAGGACAAACTCATTGACAATAGTTAAGATATTTTACTTTTCCTAACAAGTTTATTCAAAGTTTTGATGAGTAAAAGTGAGAAATATGTGTGTTAGTATATGATAGAATTGCAATTTAATTAATAGTAACATGCTAGCATTAATAATGTAAATACATTATTTATTATTATTACTATTATTATTAGTATTATCATTATTATTATTATTATTATTATTATTACTTTTGCTATTTTATTATTATTATTAATTTTCCAACAAATTATACGAATTATTTTTTGAGTACTAAGATGAAACAATGAAAAAAGAGTACATTTAGATGTAAATAAAATATTAAAAAAATAATTTTATTTTGAACAAATCTTTAAAGAAAAAAAGAAAAGAAATTTGCAGTTCATTGAGTTTCTCATGCCTTAATACATTATGCATGAAAAAACTTCGCAAATTATGCATATTACAACGTTATGATGAATTAAAAACCATACAAAATATACTACGACAAAATCAATTAATGCGAATTATTACTGCGCCATTAGTTTCCATACAACTTAGTGGCATTGTATTAAAACCAAACATTTTCAATGAATTATGTAATGCATTGAAAGAAACTCTCAGTGAGTTACTGATTTGTGGTGCATTATGTAATCCACCAGATTTTGATCAGTATATCACATCAATTGGTATGTTCTATAATTTCATTTAAGAGTTTTAATAATTTAACAAAATTTAAAATATTCCAATGCACTAATAATATCTCTCCGTTTCTTTTAATTTTTTTTCTTTTTATAACAAATATTTGTTATAAATTGTTAGAGATAATAAATGAAAAATGATTTTATTGATATCATTTTCATAGATATTTGTATTTCAATCATTATAGCACAAAAAAAAAAATGCATAGAAAGAATTTTAATATTAATAATGTTTTGATGTAAAGCTTACTTAGTAAAATCTAAAAACTTAAACAATAGACTATTTTCAAATTTTATACATCTCTTTGAAATCTATCCAAGACATGCTAGTATTATCAGTGATATAATGATAAAATTATTAATTTAGGAACATTAATTCATCTAAAAATACTCGATATTCCACCATCATTATTCTCGTGCTGTCATCGTGCATTACCACAAAAAATGTTTATTTTAAAAACATTAAACCTAAAAAAGATCTCCGTTTATGTGCATTACTATAGCGCACCAAATATTGCTCAATTTTTGAGTACAATGCCAAAAACATTGGAAGAATTAATAATATTTCGTACCACTGAACTTGATCAAACGACATGGTCAAGAGATTTTGAAAAATTACCATATAAGGTTAATGAATAATTTGTTATTAACTTGTGAAAATAATCATGAAAATGATGCTGCTCTCTTTCAATCTTCCTTTAATTCATTTCAATCTAATTAAAACAAGATTTAGAGAGGGAGAAAAATTTACTACAAAAGTAAGTTAAATTGAACATTTATAATAAGTATTAAATTTGATAAGAAAAAAGGAGTAATATTGTGTAGTGGAAAATGAAACAATCAAAAATGATTGATTATTATTGAGGTTTATCTATGTCGTCTTGATGATGTAATTTTTGAACAATCATGGATGTGTGATCGTAATGAACTACTTAGTCATACATTATGGTTACCACCATACGATCATGTTCATAATTTCTCGAGATTAGATATTCCGGTTAGTAAAGTTTTTATTTTCAAAAAAAAAAAAAAAAATGTTATTAGGAGAAATTATTGTATTGAATACTAAAAACTATTAACTGAATCATAATTTAAGAAATTTACTAAAATTAGTGAATGGACCAAAAAAAAAACAAGAAAAAGTGATAACTTATTTAGGCTGAATGGTATCAAGATGTGTTTAGTACTATTAAGGAAATGAATAATCAGGAAGCTGTTACTACTGCTCAATCAAATTCTGTTTCAACTAGTCGAAGTGAATTTGTTAATTTATCTCCAAGGTCCTTTTTTTTTTAATCAAAAAATTTTTTTTAAATATTATAATAAGCTGAAACATAAAATCAATGTCTATTTAGAACTGACTATAATTCGAGAGTACACTCATTTTGGAATGTTTATAGCTGCGAAAACAAAGCAAAAATGACAACATCTCTAACGTTACCAACCACAAACTAATTAACATTTTGTTAATAACCGTCGATTAAATTTAGTTTATGAAAAAATGAAAACAAAAAGTTGCAGCAATGAAGATGCAGCAGTTACGAGTAATATTAGTGCACAAACAGTCCAATCTTTTGTGGAAGACGGCCGAGGATGAAGAAGCAATTAATTCTGATTCGTTAATGTTTTCTAGATCAATCATAATTTTTTTTACATATTCCTCTTCAAATCCGAATTTTGGAAAAGAACATTCGAAATGGCGAATAAGATTAAATTAATTTATAATTGTCTAATGCTTTATGAAGTTATCCAATTAGTCTGAGCATTATATCCCTTAGAGCTTAAATGAATAAAAAATATGCATATAAAACATGCCGCAAATATCTTTCACAAAAAATTTGCAATGAAAATTGCTATATCATCCTCTTCAATTTATATTTAATACAAGAGTTTCTACTGCAAGGCATCTTCGATCTACCAAATATTGAACTGCAGGAAACAAAAAAGATTAAAATTCAGAATTAACTTTTGTAAAAACCTTTACTGTTATCAATACTACACTGTGTACAAAGCATACATTATACAAATAATCCTTAATTGCAAGAACGATATAAGCATGAACCAGAAATAAATATGGCCTATTCAGATAATCTTAGCATGAAAACAAAGAGAATCAGAGCCGCACAAACATTTTCTATGTAATTAACTTCCATTATTACACTTACATAATCGTTTAATCACTATTTAATCAACCAACTTATCCACATTTTTGAAGTTGCTGAAGTTGGAAATAGATACTGCATGACCTCTTACATTCACAACAACTGCAGCATATTCAGTATTTTGAAACGAATCAAAATATATTATTAGAATTGTTTTCTGGTTCATTTAGTAGGTCGACCAAATAGTCTTTTAAAACTAATTTCTTAATGAAGAATGGTACAACAATCAGCCGGTAAAATTTGCTTAACCTAACGATAAAGATATTCAGCTTGTAAGTTTGCAGCTAATTCTGGCTCCCATCGATCACCATTCAACAAAAGTTTTTCTTTGTTATATAGCAGCTCCTCATGAGTCTCCGTTGAGTATTCAAAATTCGGACCCTAGAAGAACAATCTGAACGTAACATACAAAAAATAAACACAGTTATGAGTAAACATTAGTATAGCCATGATATTAAACAAGTATGGATGCGATGATAGCATATATATATATGAAACACGAAAGAAAAAATCATTATATGAAAAGAAAAAAAATAAGAAATAGAATACCTCAACAATGGCATCAACTGGACAAGCCTCCTGACATAAACCACAATAAATACATTTTGTCATGTCAATATCATAACGAGTAGTTCGCCGACTTCCATCGGGCCTTGCTTCAGCCTCAATCGTTATTGCCTGGAACCAGGAAAGAAATGATTTTAAAAATTGTTGAATAAATTATCGTTCAAAAAAAAAATCAGGTTCAGTGAAAAAAATGATTTATTTCCAGCAATTAGAAAGTAACATGAGACACTGCTCAAAAAAGAAGTCTAAAATTTTATTAGTGAAATTATCAATTAAGCATCCACTATAGTATCGGTGATTCAAAATGCTTCTGGAACCCCGTCAATGATTCGAAAACTTCCGTAGAGAAGAAAAAGGGATGAGACAAATACAACTCTCAATACTATACAATTAAGAAGAAATCCTATATACTTGTGCCGGACATATTGCTTCGCATAGTTTGCAGGCTATGCAGCGTTCTTCACCGGATGGATACCTCCGAAGTGCATGCTCACCACGAAAACGCGAGCTCAAAGGACCTTTCTCGAATGGATAATTTATTGTTGCAGGCTCCATAAAGTAATGACCAACAATTATACCCATACCTGAAAAGTATACCATGAAAAGATAGATTATAAGAAAGAACAATGAAATACTCCAGAATTGGATTTCACGGACATAACAGCAGTAAATATTGGGCAAAATAACTTCATGAGATTATGAAATAATTCCACATTTCATTCAATTTTACCCTATGCATACCTCTTATAAGCTCTGTCATAAACATATAATGCATTGCTTTGCGGAAATCACCCAGCAGTGTTCCGTCGGATTTCGCTGATTCAGCAACATACTCTGTAATTTAGTCAACTTGAAATAATTTCTTAGCAAACATTTAAGGTTTTATGATCTGTCAATTTTTAATGATACTAACACATTGCATTAAACTCCTGATGAGTTTTTCATTATATATCTTTACCGAAATCAATGGCTATTATATATATCAGAAAGAAAACAAAGAGAATCTTACACTAGAATTCTGAGACATGAAATGAGTCATATCAGTAAACTTTAAACATCTGATAATAAATCGATATTGCAATTTATATTTCTTAAAAGAACCCATTCATTTACTTACTGTATGTTGTGCGAATTTGCGAACAGTTTGCCGGAAATGGAAGTTTACTGAGAATGTTCCCAGAGTGATATGCCAAGCAAAACCAAGAACGCATATCTGCAAGAGAATAGTGTCCAAGTTAGATAAAGGAGTAAGTTTGGCAATGCTATGTGGAATATTCAGTAATAAGTAGTAAGTATTAAAACAACTTCATAGATTTACATCGAAAATGCATCCTCAAATATTATTCTATATTGCGTAATAAAAATCAAATACTAATACTTAAGAAGAAATGTACGAGTTTATAAAACTCATAGAAAAAGACATTATTCCCTTATAAAATCTTTGTTGTCCATCATATTTCACTCTTACATCAGCTTTCGCAGTTTTACATCAAACATGCCGGAACTTTCATTAAAAGAATGTAAAAACAATACCGTAGTAGAACAGCAAAATAAAATACATAAAATCACAACAACGTTAAAGTTTATTTCTGAAAGCATTTTTACTCATGTTAGCATTCGATAGAATAATTCTTTGGCAAATTTTCTTTTCCTTCTACTGCCTCCCTTACATATACAAACACAGTAACATGATCACATACACAAAACAGTAGGTAAACAATGAAAAATCTATTCAAAAAATTAAAAAAAGGAACGAGTTAAAATGCACAGCAAAATGTCTTTAAATCAAAAAAAAAAACGTATCTGTATGAGGAAAAAAGGAACGTATGATTGATACACGTGTCCGATAATGAACTTCGTTGAAGTATACATGACAATTGCAATCTTATAAAGAAACTACAATGAAAAACAAATGATTGCTAGTTAAAGAATCTAAAACTTTTGTTGCTGTAGGATTGATTAAACTGATAACAAGATGTAGTGAATCTCTGAGTTGTTAACAAAGACGACTGAATTCATAAAAAAATTTCTAATATACCAATACCTTCTAATTAAATTTATCCCTAAATGAAATTTAAATGAATAAACAGGAGAATGAAATCCCTAATGCTGTTTGCAAATCATACAACAACACATTACACAAATAATCAATTTAAGATTAAAAAATAAAGATATAGCTTTGTAAAATCATGGCAACATATACGTAAAAAAGGAAAAAAGAAGGAAGATTAATCTAGCAATCAAATAAAAAATAGTTTCTGAAAAAACTATAACATTTGTAAGTTAGTGAAGCCTGACTATCCAGAACTGAAAGAACATTAGCTAATCTATACAAGATGGACGAATCAGCTAATTAAAATAATTTGCTTACCGCCGTCTTAAGATTCATTAGAGGGAAAAGCTGCACCACTGCGCAACTACAAGATGTGCTCTGTTAAATGAAGACAACTTATTAATTCATTACTATAATAATATAAATACTAATGCAAAACCTGCCAGAAATAGTCAATGAGCTTATTCATACATGAGATGAGCACAATAAAAAATCGTAGCATTTCAATATTTCGCTACAACAGATCAAGCAATCAATAACAAAATAAGTGTTATGTCATCCGGTTTGCCTCCTGGTGCGTCGATTCCATGCTGCGATGCTTTTACTGCAAATGGAGACAAATGCTGCGTATCGAACGCTAACCTTCTTGCAGTAAGTGCTAAACTATTGCAAGCTTTCTAAAAATAAATAAATTCAAAACAAGGAAATTTAAAACCACATTTCTGACACAGTACTGATGCCAAAATCTGTGTTTAAATTTTAAGGCATTTAATATTACCAATCAAAAGTGCTAGAACGATTTAATATCATCAGCATTCTCGACTTTTAAGAGTTTCTAATGCAGTTTTTATATGTTTTAAAGAACTGCTCAAGGGTCCAAAACTTAAATCCTTATTTAATCCTATTGTCATCCTTTGCTGTTCTCTTATTCATTCTTTGTCCTTTCATTTGTTGCCATATTTCCTCATTATTAATTTCTATTCTTCACTACTCCAAGCCATTATCTGCCTCATTTGAAGCAATAAAGCACATTTTTTAAATTTTCAAGCAAGGAACATTTTAACTAGACCTACCTGCACATCACCTGGTTTGAGACCTGATAACTGCTTAACGATTTCATCTTCTGTCACATTATCCCACAAACCATCGGTTGCAAGCACAATAATATCACCGCTCATCAAATCCAATGATGCCGATTCAGCTTTCTCTGGAGAATCGCCAAGAAAACTACCGTTTCCTACAAAATTTTTTGAAAACATTAAAAATCTTCCATACCAAAACTTACAAACATATTAAGATTTCTGAAACCAAATAATTACTGCTGTAGATTTCATAAAATACCACCTACAATTATAAAAATAAGCTGAAATTTAAAATAAAAAACATTACGATAAATTTTACCATCATCCGTTGGAGGTAATGACAGTTGATACGGGGCGTTAAAATAATGAGTCTGTTCACGACTACGATATACTATCTCGCCATTCCGGATAACAAGATAACCCGAATCACCCAGATTAGCAGAATATAGCGTATCCTGATGAACAATAAGTACACAAGCTGTAGATGAGCCGGTTGGACGTGGTGGTTTTGCAAGTGCTTCGTATGCACGAGCTAGTAGCTTATCCGGTCGAGTTGGCTTAAACTGGCCTGAAATCGAAAAATCATTACGACGCTTCATTTTTAAACAGCAGTATTAAATTTTGCATCACTGTTGTGCAGTTATATTAAAATTCAGGTGATATCCACACGGAAATTTTGCTCTTTGTTTACGTAAGACAATACCTTTCATTACAATTTTTTGACACAGCTTCA